CTGATGTTGTCAAAAGCGTCATCAGGATCAAATTCGCTCGTTCAAATGACGATCAGGTCGCGTTTGTCAGATCAGTTGACGATAAACTTTTCATCGACGTTCAGGTGATCGCAAATTAATTAAATTAAATTAAGATGGATCGTTCAACAAAATGTTTGAGAAAGTTTTAACCTAACTACTTCTTAAAATTCTTCGTATCGGATGCGTTTGTCTTCTGAAAGCTTAAGGAAGAATCAATTTGCTAAAGACTAGTTCAATGTGCAAACGTTTCTTGGGAGAGAGGCTCACTTACTATAGGCAAAATATTCGTTAACAAGGCCATCAGTATTTGCGGTGTTTCCGGCTGTCATTTGCAAAAACGTCCAGAACAAGTCTATTCTATTCTTATCCTTAAATCATGCTCACGGCTTCCTTTCTGCATTCACAGATTTTTCATGGATCTGAAGATGCGGCAAAAAAAAACTAATTTCGTTGGTTTTCTCAGAGGTTTTTTTACCCGACTCATTTTGTCCAATACTAAATTGGTACACAAAACAAAAAGTTTTTGACAATAATATTTTCCCTTATTACCTTAAATTATGTGCATTCGATTATTATCAATCGAGTTGTCAATACAAAGCCACGCGGCAGAAATTCAGCACTCTCACGTAAATTGATAACGTAATTGATAACGTAATTGATAACGTAATTGATAATTTGATTATTCTTCAACTATCAGGTATCGTGTAAGAGCTTGTTTAGCGCTTTAATATTGTTAGACGAAAACTTTACGTTTTGGTATCCAGCTAGTTTATGAACTCATAAATGATAATGTAGAGGACATTGTTACCGTATTACAAGCTCTATGCCACCACCTCTAATATGTTCTGCGAGATTGCCAGTACGTCTTTCGAAGAGCTTGCTTGCACCTATCGGTGTAGATCATCAGATCATAGTCGAGCTCAATAATATTAATATACTATATTAATATTATTTATCATCTGCGTACGTATCAAAGTAGCGCGTAGTCATATCCTTCGAATTTACTCTTGAAATTGGACGTATTTCACACACTTACATTCTTGCGGACCTTTAATAATATTATTATTACTAATACCCGATAATATGATGAAATTAAGTATGAATTGGTGTATAGACATACAGTATCACGCAAATTTTAAAGCTCCCATTAAATCATAAAAGCGTCTGATAAGCGCTCTTTCCCTCACTCCTGCCTTTTCCTGATTCTCTTTATAGTCCATGAGTTTTCACTCACAGATATATCAGTAATATTATATTGCCACTGAAGCAAGAGTTATCACATATGAACACTATTGGCTTCTTTCTGTTTCAAGACCGCGTCTATTAAGATTCACCAGAGTGCTTGACTGAACCTTTTGTTCGCCTAAAAAAGATATTAAAAAGTTTCGGAATATATTATAGGTGTGTGACACAAAGTAACGTTTTACTATACTGATACTACTAATAACACGAACTAATCTTCATATGCATTACTGATAACTTCGTAAGCGCTTTATTAGCCGAAGCAATGGAACGAAAAGCTTTTTAATATCTACTGTCAGAACGCGCTTATTATGTTTGTGTTACGGTGCGTTTAAACGGCTACTATATAAACAATCACATATAACTAATATTTTAAAAGCGGAAAAAGACTACCGTACGTAATATTAACGCAAAAACGTTTCATTTGTCGAAAACAAGACCACAATTTAATTAGCTACACACGCAATTTATACCCCAATAGATTAATATCTCGATGTCGTCTGCTATTTTCATTTTTACTTCAATTATACGTGCTTTGTCTCTACAACGTCTACTCGGCGAGTCTGTGTGGCCTCGCAAAATATTCCATAACAGCAGCAGATTCAAGAGCTTAACTAATCCAATGTCCAAGTCACTTATAACCGAAGTCAGGTTCCGAGAAAAATAATACCCCGTTCAAAACAAATATGCCAGTCTTCCCCTTTGTGTGCGCTAAAAATTCATTAAGGGAGCTTGTGCAATCCGGACCATGCGCGATCATAACGTTAATTCTTTCTGTTTAATTCTACGGATTGTGAGTGGACGACGGGTAATGTCCCTAATTGGAACATAAATGAATTGCGATGGAACAAAATTGTAAATGAAATGTCTCAAATTTATATAAACTTTTGTTGAGTATGGAGCGGAATTTACATTCCATGCTCTTAACTACAGGCAAAATATGTTCAGAGAGACTAGCATCCAAAATCGCAAAACGGTGTTGAAAAAGCAAACCGTTATCGCAAAGCATACTTACACACGGGCGAAATACGGTCGGACGAAAAGAAAGATCGTTTTGCCAAGTTTTCGTCCGCCAGGCGTCTAGAGCAACTAATTGAACGCACTAAATGTGACTAAAGCCGCAGAAACACCATAGATCAATTTATAATTATCGGTTATAAACAATAGTTGAATCGTCAACATTTGATGTGTACGCGATGCGATAATCAACAGCTGCTTGGATTGATCAATTTGGGGACACTTGTGCATTTGTCTCGGTCTAGAGACGACAAGTCATGTCAGTTTAGAACTGAGACAAATCCCCGGTAGAATGTCTAAAGGATGACTTTGAGGTATCGGTCCCTGACAAGGAGCAGTGACTGAAACGCTACTTTAGCGGAGAGAATTTGAGTTTACAATGCGCGGCATTGCGAACAGTATTCTGCCTAGTTCCGCATCAGTCGGGGATGATTGAGCCTACTCCCTTGCTTTCCGTTGTTTCCATATAGCATGCGTTGCATTTTGGCCAAGGTTTGGATAAACATCTCGGTGAGAACAATGATTTAAAGTCTAGCTGTGCGGTGTATATATTTATTCGAATGCTTACAAGATGTAATTAATATACAGGTATTGTGCAGAATGAAACTTTGGTTGCTCTAATTCAAGATCAATCACCCAACTACATATGATATATTAAAGTTACGAGTCTCTTCCCACAAATTCTGCCACCACTTATCTTTCTTTTTCATGTGCTTTTTAAAACTTCTTATCATTGCTCTTTCCTCGTCAGTAACCTGCCAGGGAGCAAAATTCAGAGCCTCAAACTCAACTATGGTTTGTGCGCAGTCGCCATCCATGTGAGTAATAACGCCAAATTTGTATACAGATCCGCTACAGTAATATCCTTCTCGTGCAGCAATGTACGTTAAAGCTGCTTGATCTTGGCGATGGTTTTTTCGGCTAGATCCGGGGGGTGCTATGCAGTCCTTATGGTAAGCACAGTCAACAAAGTCTGTTAAAAGTTTATCGGCCGTTCTGGTATCAAATGCGAAGGCCGCTCCGTTACAATTACTGATGTTTTCAAATTCTTTTGGTACTGGAACATCAAAATATTCGAATAGTCCGGGGTGAGTCCAGTGAAAGAAGCTGCCACCAGAACGCGGAGACATGAAACCATTATTTTTTTCTAGCAGCTTTTCGAAATTTTGCAACATAGATGTCCTAACATAAGTTCCGGCATCTAACCATAATATTTTTCCGGGAAAATCTCGAGCTATTTCCTCTACGATACCCGGTTTCCATGCATACTGTCCACGGGCAACGGTTAGGTCCCAGAATGCAGGATATTTTGTAAAGTTAAATGTGCGTAATTCAGTAATGAGTCCAGACGATTGGAGTGAAGTAAGTATAGAGATGTGCCATGGAGACAAGCCCAAATTGTAGATGATGACTCTCGGACGTGCAGCATTTATGGGAAAGGCGAGGCTAATAGCAGTGTATGTGCGATAGATCCATGCGTGGACTGCACAAAAGTGATTCGAACTTGCGCCTGTCACGATTGTGAATGGGGGTTCTGGGATTTTGATTTCATCGTCTAACGGTTTCTCGTCATGTTTTATATCAGGACATGTATAGTCGCTTGAAAAGGTACCTACATATTGAAATAATATTAATACTTGAGCTATTACTTGTATGACGATATGTCGCTGAGCAACTCACCGGCCTCATTCATGAACCACAGTATAAGTAGTATTGTACAACATATCAATGTCGCCTTTATTGTTATGAGTTTTTGAAAGCTCCTGCATTCCATTACTGACTATTACACACTCTCAGCTGTTTAAATGTTTTCCAACAAGGTATAAGAATAAAGTTAAGACCCTATGCTCTTTGATAATTATTTCGTAATAGTTGGAGCCTGCTCCCATGTGTGTTTATTATATCAGAGAAGTCGGCTTTTCATTCTCACTTAATATGAGGTAATACGGACCACCAAACAGAAATTGATTGCCGCAAATAGTAATCAATAATGTTGTACGGACCTAATTTTGTCGAATATATGTGGCGTTGAAATTGTGTGTTTATAATAATAGCAATAACTTCTCCCATATGAAAGAAGAGTCTATTGGAGCGGAAGTCGTTGAATAGAACTACGAACGATACTCATATTTAGAATGTTTGTAAAACGTCCGGCACAGAATAATGGAAATTCACTCCATTTTTGAGAGTTTCATAACTGTTCTTGGCAACGACGATACGTTATTATTATTATTGATGAATGTCTCAGATGTAATATGTATTAGTCAAGATGCTCCTGTCAAAAGCATAATTAGATTAAACGCCACAAACATTTTACTTAATAATAACTGTTTGTTTAAGAAGTATCAGACTTGCTATCAAAGTTCCCGAAACGGATTTCCCACACAACCACAAAAATAACACGCAGTTGTTGAAATAGCCGAAAAAATTGCCTGATAAGCATGGTCTTGCCTAATCAGCATTGTCATTGCCCAATAAGTAAACGTTTAATATGCGTCTTTCTACTATATTATTTTAATTAGTGTGATACCAATTTGACTACGTTATTGCTGTTCTTATTATTATTATTATTATTGGCTTTTCTTCTGATAATACCTATTTTTACACCCGAACTTAATAGTATTGATCACGAGAACATTAATAAGCGTCGATCAGATCTAAACCAATGCTAATTATGATATGAATTTATGGATATCGGACCAATGAAAAGTCTATCGTTCAGTTTTTTGGGGGAAAAAAAGCCAATGTCGGATACCTCAGATTCTGGAGAGTCAGACAGGTGATGTAAATTCTTTGACATCGATTCCCTCCAAACACCGAATTATATCTCTTGCTAAAATTGTATCCCCACCGTTGATGATGACCCTTTCGTAATTGCTTATGCCACCAACAAAAGAGCCCTTCCCAACATTCTCATAACGGGCACTCCGGGTACAGGCAAAACTTCTCTTGCTGAAATATCAGCGCAAGCAACTCGATTGACTCACATCGATGTCAGTGCTCTTGTGAAAGAAAATTCACTTCATTCAGGATATGATGAAGAGTTTGATACGCTTGTCCTCGATGACGATAAGGTGCAGTTATTAACATTTGTACTTGTAAAATTGAATGGAACCCGATGGACTTGTAGGCTAAAACAAGCTGGGGGGTTTTTTTTGGTTAGCTAGTTGATGAGTTGGAAGAGAAAGTAAGTCAAGGAGGCAAGATTGTGGATTTTCACTCGTGTGAAGTTTTTCCTGAGCGATGGTTTGATCTTGTATTGGTTTTGCGAACTGATAATACTATTTTATACGATCGGCTGGTGGAGAGGTAACGCACAATACGATTTCTATAAATAAAAGTCGTTATTTTTTCAACCCTTGGCTGAACATGCTCTCCGTCTAAAACTATTCTTTGTCAGAGGATACAATCAAAACAAAATTACTGAAAATATTGACTGTGAAATATTTCAAGTCGTATTAGAAGAAGCGCGTGAATCATATCCTGAAGAGATTGTCGTTGAATTGCAAAGCAATTCTGTGGAAGACATGGAGAGTAATCTGTCAAGGATACAACAATGGGTGAATAATTGGATGGCGAATCGAACGGGTCATTGATTGTCGAATGATGACTGTAATGTCTTCTTGTACGATGGCGCATGCTTTCTCTTTTACGTGCTTTTATTTATTATTTTGAATCTTATTCATTCTTCTGGGTAATTGCTTGCCGATATGCGTCTTCTATTACCAGTCTCAGTTAGAAGGACTCGCGCTAGCTCATAAGAAACGCTGGGAATAGTGACAAGAAGCTGCCTAAGAAATAAAATTAAATGAACTTTTGCGAGCAGTATACGGTATACACATAGCTAATTCTGTTCGGGATAATAATACCTCAGCGCTATGACATTAACTTGCAATATCCACCGTGATTACTGTCTACAGGGTACACGCCAATTGTTGGGCATCAAAATAGCAAATATGTTATCATAATGTTTTTGTCACGTGAATTAAAAAATTTTATTGCACATTGCTTACATGCTATACAAATTGAAGTTAATAAAACCATGATATTTACAAGCAACCAATAATTAATCGAAAGTCCATTAGCACAAAGTCCGCATTTCAGAAATGTATGCTCATATATCGACGCAGTTCGATATTTGAGTTAGGTGATAGAGTAACAGTACTGACTGCGTCTGCATGTTGTGTAATGTTTCTGAAACACGTCTGAAACTCACGCTTCTGCTGGTTAACACGCTATTGGCACCATTTAATTTTAGTTTATTCTGCCATTATTAAGCTTGGGATTCTTTGTCCACAAATCGATGAATATAGTTTGTGAAATTATATAGCTGTTACGCTTTTAATATACAGAGCAGAAAATTCTCCAACAAATATCGTAGTGGGTTTACTGTAAAGTTTCCCATCAAGACTTCCGTTGATTGTCAATAAAAAATTGTCCGATAAGAGCGACTTGAAACATTTGTTGAAGTTTGATTGATTTTACTACTTCGATACAATGATAAAGAGTCAAATAATATAACAATTTGACATACTGTAAATAAATTGACCTATTTGATTTTGTAGACCTACTACGCAAAATAAATAGCAATTATTAAGATTGTTATGACATATAAAATATAACGATAACTATACAGTCAAACCTTTTTATACCGATAAACTTTGTTTACTGAGCCACTAAACAAATGAATTATACCGAGAGCAAAAAAAAATTGATGCTGGGACTCACATTAAATGGTCTAGAATCCGCGTATGCCCCTCTCTTTTTGATGGCATTATACATTTCATTGCATTTTCGTCAAGTAACTGAAAATATTTTAATAATATTAATATGACATTACCAGTAATATTTCTATTTCGCGAGATTATCTGATCAAGCGTTTAAGAAATGTTTACATTTACTTTTTGAGCGCGTATATGATGCTTTGATCCTACTCATTCAACTACCCCTTGCGGACTTCCCCCATCCTCCAACTTCTTTCTAATACTTTCGCCGCAATCTTATTGTTTTAAAGTATATCTTCACTCATTTTCAAGTTTTCTCGCTGTATATTTACAGTCACGTCAAGCTGGTATGTTACATCAAATTTTTTGGTTTTTACTTGACCTATTCTTATGGTGGTATAATATTATTTAGATGCATCGAATAGTACTTATGCCAACCCCCGTAAAATAAAGGTCATGGATATCTCGAAACTATGCAGCATTATTCTAAAGTGAAGTCACTAAAATTGGTATGGAAAAAATGATTCAATGAACAATTGAAGAAACTAATAAAACACGGATGAGGAGAGAATCGAAGCCGCATCAGTTTCTAATAAATCAGGCCTGTAAGAACTATTACTATAGATAATTAATCACAAATTACGCTGTTTATATTGCACCACGCGGGTGCGAGCGGTAAACTCCCGGAGTGGGTTGACGTCCTGGGAGCAGGTGACGGGCTCTGTGTGAACTCTGGAGTAGGTGACGTGCTCGGTGCAAGGTGTATCAAGCTTCAGTAATCAAAACATGTCTTGAAATTGGTTATTGTAATAGTAACTTACACCTTATTTTTTCAAAGGTCATTGGATTTTGGAACCTTTCTGAAAGTAAAACAGCAACAGGTATATAATAATAATAGACTGGACGTGTTCCAATTATGAATCCTTATGTTACAGTCGGCGTGGGTTGGGAGAGCAATTAAAATTGCGTAGGTGTGTTCTGCCGAGAGGGGTTTTCACAATTTAGCTCGTGTCGCTGCCCTTACTACAACGATTGCTCACTTAAGGCTGAACTAAACTGATAAGCGACAATAATTATTGGTGTGTGCGCTTCGTCTTTCACTCCCTAGACGACGTATTTTCCTATACTCATACAGTATCTAAATAAGGGAACCTACGATAAATAATAACAACAATTAAATTATCACAGGATCTTTTAATACTAATTCTGAATAGGGCGGTCTCTAGTGTTTCGACTAGTCGAAAACAACGAATAATTTAAATTATCGATCGAGAATCTCTAATCGGAACCGATCTACTGCGTTGACAACTTTAAAGCGTCAAAAATTAGTATCAGCGAACGATAGAAATAGAAATAATGAATTATAAAATGGTTTTGTAATAATTGAAGAATAACAATCAGGATCGATCGTTTACTATATCCAGTATCGAATATTATTTGATTCACAACAATACATTGACAACATCTAATTAATTGATCATCAGAGGTATTGTTTACCATGCCGTAACAGAATAATAATAAGTAATAGATTGGATAATGCATTGGTTCTAATACTGTAATATTAAGTGATGTACACAAAACCTCAATAATAATAATAAGTTTGTTTCAATGTGTTTTTATTGTTAACAAATGGTTGGATGTTTTAAGTCTAGAACATAATGTATCACCAAAACATCAGCAACCTGGAAATATTCATGATAAAGGATTAAACAAACCATGAGGCTCATACCCCTCTATTTGGCATTATAATTAGTAATACAGTACTATTCAAAAGTAACCGTACACCCCAAAAAGCCTATTGACAGAAGATAAAAGCCCTCTTTCATAAATAGTACACATAAAATCCGCATTCAGGTTTCTTTGAAAGCATATTAAATCACCGAAACCTGAAGCTGAA